GGTCAGACCCTCCTCCTTCCCACAGCCCCTCCCTGCTGCCCCGCCACGTGCCCGGGTCAGAGGCTGGGGGAGGGTGCCCAGAAGGTGCCCACTGGGAGGTACACCGTCTAGTTCGGGTTCCCACCAGGGTCTGTGTCTCAGTGCCCCCCCCGACTTCCCCTCAGCCAGCCACCCGCTGCCCCTGTGGCCGCGGCCAAGGTGGGCAAGCAGCCCCCAGCCACACCCTCCGGCCACCCACTCCTCGCCAGCCCCAGGAGCCCAGGACCGGTGCCAGGCCAGTGCCCAGTTTTCCGTAAACTGCGTTCCCACTTCCTGATGCAATAACCAACCCTACCCCCACGCTGTGCGCCCTCAGCGCCCCCCCTCCTCCCCCGCAGCGGATGCCCACGGCCCCACACGCTGTGACGGGGCATTGGAGAGCTGAGGTCAGGGCCGGTCCCCTCCCCCGCACCCGGGCTGCACAGGGCCACAGAGGCAGGAAGGTGACAAGGGCCACTGGCTGACCGATTCCAGACACCGGCCGTGGGCGGTTTATCTCAGGAGCCAGGCACTCCCGTCCCTGCTTCACAAGAATCCCCACTTCAGGGGACCGAGGGATGAGAAAGTAACACGATGCATATGAAAAGCCAGGAGCCCAAGGGTCCCCACCCCAGCCCAGCCCCGGGAAAGGCCACCCAGGCCCCAGGGTGAGGCTGAGGCCCAACCCTCGCCGGGGCCTCCTCCCACCACCTGGCCCGCCCGGCAGGCACCGCTCCCTCTTCAGGAAAGCTCTCCCCGGCCCTGCACCTTTAAATAAACAAAGACAAGAGCAGCATCTGGGCCGCGTGTGGCTTTGGGGCCTGTCTTATGGGGCGGCCGCTCCGCCCCGCCCACGTGACTGGAAATTGCTTCCATCTGTCTGTGGGTCTGGGAGCCATTCTCCACCCCTCCCCCTCCCTGCAGGACTGGGGGTGGGGGTGGGGGCCTGAACCCTCGCTTCCCTGCATGTCCCTGGGAGCAGGGCTCCAGCTGGCCCTGAACCCAAGCACACATCCCGCCCCCCAGGCCGTGCTGGAGAAATGAAAACAAAGCCAGCCTTCTGCGAAGGTGGGGCCCACTCCTGCCTCCTCGGGGAGCCCCTGGCAGGCCCCTCGATTCTGCCCACCCTGATGGCCAGCGGGCACAGTGACACAAGTGCTCCTCCCCCTGCCTTTCACGGGGCAAACCCTGGGGTCTGACCCCGCGGCCCACGGGAAGAAGAGGAGCCCAGCAGGCAGACCCGCCTTCTCCCCACGGAAGCCACCGCGCAGGACGGAGAGACCAGCCTTTCCTTCTACAATGAAAACCCCTCTGCCTCTCTGTCCAACATGGTGGTCACATGGGGCTTTAAAAAAAAAGTTGTGTTAAACTACACTTAACGGTAACACGTACCCCCTTAACCATGATTAAGCGCACTGGTCAGTGGCCTCGGGCACATTTACACTGTGGTAAAGCCGTCTCCACCACCATCTCCTGAGCTTTTTCATCTTCCCCAAGCGCACTGCTCCGTGGCCTCGGGCACATTCACACCGTCTCCACCACCATCTCCTGAGCTTTTTCATCTTCCCAAACAGACTGCCCCATTAAACACACCCTCCCCACCCCCCACCCATGGCAACCTCCCTCCTACGTTCCGCCCCATGAATCTGACGAGCTAGGTGCCTCCCATAAGCAGAACCCGAGTGTCCCTCCTGGTGAAGCCTGAGTGACCGGGCCGGCGTGGCCCAGCCAAGTGACCGGCTGGCGTGGCTCAGCCGA